AACAGCTTAGACGGTGTTTCAGTACTGCCCCACCCCTTGCCAAAGCAGCAAGTTCCGTCTTCTCCGGTTTAGTTAAGGATGGCATCAGTATTGCCATATCAATTTGAGCCGGATTCAGACCCAGAGAATATTGAACAAGAGGATCGCGCAGAACCTTTGCACGCACGGATATTGCAAGACATATTAGAGTGGTAACGTTATTGTTTTATTGTTTTTTTTTTGGCTAAATCACGTTTTAGATAGGATTTACTATGTACAAATAAGTGTATATGTATTATTTTTATTGTTATTTAATTCTAACATTATAACATGAATTGCAGTAAAACTGTTATACAGTTGAATTTATTTATACCATAGTCCAGTGTTTCCCAGGCGGCATATATATGCAAACTCATTCTCTGCCAGCAGGAGGCGCTGTTGGAGTGGTAGAGCTCGAGGTTTCCCGGTAACGCTGTACACAAAGCAGCGCTCCGCTCACAAACGCTGCTTTATCAGACATTACATGCAAGATTACATGACAGTCGGTTTCCTTCAGAAATACAGTGATATAAAAACACCCGCACTCAATGTATGGGAAACACTGTAGTCTCATAATTGAAGTGTAAATTCTGCAGATTACATAATTGTCCAGTATTGTACTGTCAGCAATTTATAATATAAACGTTTTCATAATTATAACATACATATTTACATACATAATTATTCAGGTGCATGTGTAATAACTTGCGAAAACTTGAGGCTACAGCAGCACTTCTTCTTCGTCGTCTCGTCTGATGCACTCAACCAAGCGTTCTAACCACGAGCTCGCCCCTCCCTGCCCCCCAACCATTAGAATTTCCGTAGGAGGGAATTATTTTAATGATATTCTAATAGACCGCTTTGTGATATCACAAAACCCGGAAAACAAACGCTGTAGTCCAAACGAGCCGTTCGTTGTAGTTCTTGAAAAGGGATTTTTTTTTAAAAACAAAATATCTCCCTTTGGAGTGGACTTTGAGATTTGTAAGTTTGAAGATCTTTTTTATGCCCAAACATTCACACTACACACTGACTAAAATTCAAAAAGTGAAAAAGCATAATAGGACCCCTTTAAAGCCCTATTCGCACGGGATTAGTATTACCTGGTGACGTCCAGTCATTTGTAATAATTGCTAGCTGGGCAATAGCCACAAATAAACATGTAGCACATTTTGATCCCAGTGTGGTAAAGGAATGTGTATTTTTGAGGAGACAATAGATCATTTGTTTTTATATTGTTTTAGATTAAGAAGAATATTTCAGACCTTGGAAGATTGGTTCAGAAAATTAGAAGTATTTAGTCCGGTGAATTTTATATCTGGTCTTAAATATGTTGCTGCAAAGAAGAAAATAATGTCTTTGATAAACTTTATAGTGGGTGAAGCAAAGTTAGCAATATAGTTGACAAGAAAGTGGAAATTAAAAGGTGAATGTTCAGTGGATCCTGAATTGACTTTTAAAGCTCTAATAACTGCTAGAATCAGAGCAGAATTTACTTTTTATAAAATGACGAATAATTTAATGGTTTTTAATAAAATTTGGGGAATTGAAAAAAAATTGTGTGTTCTTGATGAAGAGGAAAAAAAACTTTACTTAAAAAAAAAAGAGAGGGAAAAAAGAAAATTTATTGAAATTGTTAGAAAAACTGTGTTAATAAAGGAGTGTAAAATCAAAATCTCTTTCTCTCTCTCTCTCTCTCTCTCGTTCTAATCGATTGTTGCAGGTAAAGGTGAATGTGGTGTTGTCGAGTAAAATCTTTCAATTCCCAAACTTTTGATTCAGATTCGATTCCTTATTGATTCACTTGCATAATGTATATATCAGGACATATCAATTTTTGCTTAAGGGAACAGACACGCACTGAGAGGGTGAATATAAGGTCAGTACACCCTTTTCATCAGAAAAACAGACCCTACATACAGTAAGTTGGACAGTTGAACCAAAAACCCATGGAAGTTGTTAGACTCCAAATCGATAATCAGCTGTGTGGATGTACATCTGTTGACAATGTTTTAGCCTGATTTGGTTGTTTAAACGAACATTCAATGTGAGAATGTATGTGTGTTTTCACAGTAAAAATGTCCAGGAAAAAACGTGTTGTCTAGTCTTTTGTGTTTGTGGAAGTAGAAATGTAAGAATTCTTACAGTATTGTTTTATTGGAAAAGTGGAATTTCCCCCCACTTACTAATGAATCTGGGGAATAACTTTAACAAGACAAAGATTTCAAGTGTTTCTTGCATCTTTTAAAGTTCTGAATGTTTGGTTTATTGTTTGCTCATTTTTGTTTGTGTATATTTTGTTCCAAACCTTCAGATTTGTGTGTGTAAATGGTAGACTGAGTACACACACATTCAAAGAATAAATGTTGACTTAAAAGGATATAATATGTTATGGTTATAGCAAAGTGGCATGTGACTCCTGCATGCTTGAGAACACAAAGTGGTTTTAGAATAGGACCATCTGTAGATAAAAAGCTCTTTTATAACCTATTATTTTAAAATGTTTAGAAAAAAACATCTGAAGAAGCATATATAAAGTTGAGTAAAATTAATAGAATAAAAAGATTTAAAAAAACTTAAATCTAGTACTTATTAATAAGCAAAATACATTATGTTGGTTACAATATTAAGCTTAAACCACTAAAGTGCATTAATAATAAATGTGTACCAGTCCAGAAAGTTTTTTTTTTGATGAGATATAGAATGTGAGTGTGAGGAGAACCTCCAGAATAATTGGCATATCATGTGTGCTACATCAATTCAAATCAGTCAGATCTTTTTCTGTCGAATTATTGAAACCAACAAAAATTGCGTAAGAAACAAATAGAATGTTTTGGTTTTAGATTTGTATAGAATAATACAAATGTAATATTACCTGGTTGCATAAATGTGCACCCTTTTATAAGATGTGGTACTTGGAATGAACAAATTACACAATTATTTGCAAAGTAGTGAAGGCCATCATCAACAAGCGAGAATTAAAATGATAAAGAACTTAAAAGGTAATAATAAAGAAAAAAAGAAGATACATAGGATATTCGGAAAAAGATTAAAAGAAGGTATTAATCAGAGAATAGTAATGAAATAGAAACAGGATTAAACAAACGAATTTGATTGTTAATTAAATAAATAAAGCAAAGAAATTGGGGAACACACAAGCTGGGTTTTTTGGCATGAGAGCTGAACACGCAGCAGCCAGAAATACAGCTTGGGTGAACCCGAAACAAAATTAACAATAAAATAAAATATTTTAAAATATGAATAGAGACGGGATTATCATCCATGTATGTGTATAAACAGTTGGTGGCGGTATGTGTCTACGGTGCGGAATACGCCAACAATTCCACCAAAGAAGAAGAAGAAAGCTCCGCCCCCTTTGTTATTGAACATGGCAGTGTCCCGATTACCTCCAGCGGCTCTGAGTCTCAAACAGGTAAAAACCAAGCTGTTTGGACGCGTTCAGAAACAGCTGGACGGAGCGCAACTTGAACTATTCCTTTAACTGTTTAATTAGACACGCCCTCCTCCCAAGACCCAGCACTCCAGAGATGTGTACATGCACGAAAGTGCATGAAGGAAAAAATAATGACTTTCAAATTAGGGCTGTGCAATTAATCGCATGCGATTGTCATGCGCATCTCGTCAGTGAAGCCGGTTCCGTGATTAGTAGTAAATCTTCATCACCTGCTTTCAGATGGAGCGGTACTTTTACTACACAGAGCCGTAGTTCACTGACAAGCTAGGAAATATCGCATTCATAATCGCAGATGAATCGCATTCGATTATGAACGCGATATTGCCTAATTGTCATGGAACGGTTCTGTGATTGGTAGTAAATGCTCTGTCGGAATGAGAGTCCAAACAGCTGATAAAAACCACGCTTTTCACTGGAGGAAGCCTTATTGTGGAGAATGGACTCTATTGAACGTCTTGATGGATTTGTTTTATATGAACACGCTGATTTTGGTTTCACAAGATGTTAATTGATGGACTGGAGTGGTGTGTGGATTATTGAGATGTTTTTATCAGCTGTTCGGACTCCCATTCTGACGGCACCCATCCACTGCAGAGCATCCATTGGTGAACAAAAACATTTTGGATGGCCTGAGGATGAGTACATTTTCAGCAAATGTTAATTTTTTATTTTTTTTTGTGAACTATTCCTTTAACTGTTTAATTAGACACGCCCTCCTCCCAAGACCCAGCACTCCAGAGATGTGTACATGCACGAAAGTGCATGAAGGAAAAAATAATGACTTTCAAATTAGGGCTGTGCAATTAATCGCATGCGATTGTCATGCGCATCTCGTCAGTGAAGCCGGTTCCGTGATTAGTAGTAAATCTTCATCACCTGCTTTCAGATGGAGCGGTACTTTTACTACACAGAGCCGTAGTTCACTGACAAGCTAGGAAATATCGCATTCATAATCGCAGATGAATCGCATTCGATTATGAACGCGATATTGCCTAATTGTCATGGAACGGTTCTGTGATTGGTAGTAAATGCTCTGTGTAGTAAAAGCCGCTCCGTCTGAAAGCACGTGATGGAGATTTACTACTAATCACGGAACCGGCTTGACTGACGAGATGCGCATACGATTAATTGCACAGCCCTACTTCAAATCTAATGGCAGAGTACTTGAAGTGAACTCCGCTTAAAAGTGAGGTCACGTTTGAGTTTTTTCAGGCAAAGTCCAGTCATTTCAACAGGAATCAGCACAGTTAGGAGTTTCACGCGAGTTATGCTAATGTGACCCTGGAGCACAAAAGCAGTGTTAAGTCGCTGGGGGATATTTGTAGCAATAGCCAAAAATACATTGTATGGGTCAACATTATTGATTTTTCTTTTATGCCAAAAATCATTAGGATATTAAATAAAGATCATGTTCCATGAAGATATTTTGTAAATCTCCTACCGTAAATATATCAAAACTTAATATTTGATTAGTAATATGCATTGCTAAGGACTTCATTTGAACAACTTTAAAGATGATTTTCTCAATATTTAGATTTTTTTGCACCCTCAGATTCCAGATTTTCTAATAGTTGCATCTCAACCAAATATTGTGCTATCCTAACAAACCATACATCAATGGAAAGCTGATTTCTTAATCTTTCAGATGTATAAATCTCGATTAAAAAAAATGGACCCTTATGACTGGTTTTGTGCTCCATGGTCACAAATCAGGAATTTTCAGCAGCAGAAAGCTGCTTGGATTAAAAGTGACTTTGTTGTGAGCTGTTTTTCTAATGAAAAGGGTGTACTACTGACCCTATATTCACCCTCTCAGTTCTGGTTGCATAAAGTTTGTCATGTCGCGATGTAGCTGAAGATTGCCAGCTCTCTTATAAAATGAATGATGTTACTTTGCTTTGTCACAGTGAATGTCTGGCAGTGTTGTGAGTCCTCCTTACAATGGTCCCCATTTACATGCATTGTACATTGTGTATGGTTTTCCTCCTCAGGATGTGATTCGCATGATGATCACTCAAGCGCACAATCATCTGGAGGATTTGAGAAGATCTCTCGCATTGGCTGGATTCTAGAACGTCGACGTGTTCACCACTCATTAAAAGCATAGTTCAGCCAGAAATGAAAATTCTGTCATCGGTCACTCACCCTAATGTCGTTTCAGACACGCAAAACTTTCATTCATCTGACTTTTCATTCATCGAAGTACAAGTGAAGATGTTTGTAATAATCTCCGTTTGCCCCTCCATTACACACAAGTCCACACAACCAAAATGTTCACGCTTTAAAAAGTCCAAAACGACCTCTATATGAATCAAGTGCTTTAATCCAAGTCTTCTGAAGAGGCACAATCCACTTTATATGATGAACAGATTTAATTTAGGCTTTCATTTGCATAAACATTGATCAACTCACATACATAGAGGGCATGAAATATGGTAAAGACAAAAACTAATGTCTCTTTTTACATGAGAACAAACCTCATTGGTTTTCGTGCACCAATGTGCTCTGTGTTGATCAATGTTTATATGTGAATAAAAGCCTAAATTAAATCTTTTCAAAGCAAAGTATAACAGCATCGTGTCTCTTTGGAAAACTGGGTGATTGGATTTTAAATTGAGGAACCGAAATCTCAGGTTTCATTAAAATATCTTTGTGTTTTTGAAGATGAGCAAAAGTCTTATGGGCTTGGAACGACATGAGTGTGAGTAACTGATGACAATTTTCATTTTTGGGTGAACTGTCCTTTTAAAAAAAAAAAAGTCCACTGTAATGTGAAAGATAATCAGACTTTTTATTGTGTATATATATTTATAATGCACGAGTGCTCGTTCTTTTACTTTGCCAGATATTAATAAAAGCCAAATACATTCACTTCTCTGAGTCATAATTACGGTGTAGTTGAAATATTACATAACGTCAGAACAAATGCACCTGTGGCTGTGACATCTGTATGTAGTTTCTGCATAATTTTTACAGCAAACGCTACATTATGAATACCAATAAACGTTCCACACAGTACTTATTTCATAACTGCATTTGTTGATGGAAAATGTGCAAAATGTTAGCCATTGTTCTCTTGTATTTAAAGTACTCAAGGGCAAGTAATGGACTTACTAGTGCATAAATATGTAATATATTATCAAACTATAATAACAAAACAGTTTACAGTTGTGTAAAGTGCATATAAAGACAAAAACTGGCCTTTATGGCCGATCAAATAACAACTCTCCAACCACTAGATGGATTCTTTTTTTCACAAATGTACACGGATGTAGTTTATTAAACATTAATTTGTGACAGATCACACAGCTGCATGACAGTAAACAATAATGTTCCCTTTGAAGCAGCTGTAAACAATTATTCGAGTAGTCATACATTTATATAAAAAACAAAACATGGTCATTACATATCAGTTGTTAACATTTGTCAAGACGTGCATCAAAAACAATTTGATTTCATAGTTCATCATCAATAGCCACTGGCAAAGACCTCAGCGTAACTTTAAACAGCAGTTTGAAATCAAAGTGACCATTATTTTGACTTTGATCATTTCAACAGTACTTACAACAATCCACACATCAGTCTTGATGGAGCAGTGTGAGGTTAAAAGAGTCGTTCAAGCGCACAGTGGCGATCAAATGATCCAACATTTGTGAATATTTAAAGTCAATACGAAATGACATTCATGTTTAATTGGATGTTGGACAGTGAGCTTTCCATACCAGAATAAAGTGTGTAATGTAGTTTATTTCGACATCACAGTTCAGTATATTTCATTGAATTTAAAGGGATAGTTCACCCAAAAATGAAAATGTGATGTTTATCAGCTCACCCCCAGGGCATCCAAGATGTAGGTGACTTTGTTTCTTCAGTAGAACACAAAGATTTTTAACTCAAACCGTTGCAGTCTGTCAGTCATATAAGGTAAGTGGATGGGAATCACGGCTTTGAGAGTCAAAAAAACATACACAGACGAAACCAAATTAAACCCTGCGGCTAGTGACGATACATTGATGTGTAAAGACACGAAACGATCGGTCTGTGCAAGAAACTGAACAGTATTTATATCGTTTTTTACCTCTGATCCACCGCAATGTCTAACTTCTGAGCGCGTTCTCAACAGCCGGAGCGTGACGTCAAATAAATACGGTCGGGCAAAAAAATTCCACGTTGTCTGATGATATATCAAAATCGTCTTCCATTGTGATGACCTGTACTTCTAAATATCTTTAGATCATTGCAGTGCCAGTGAACACGTCCGCAATCTCTACACTGTGTAAATAATGAGTGACGTATACGCGCGACAGATCACTTCCGCACATGCTTCTACTATCATAGATATGTATAGATTCCCTATTCGACCGCTCCAGATACGTTGACGCGTCCGCCATTTTGTAACGTATCGCGGCCCATAGAAACAGTCACTAATGAGGCATCTACTTATTATATCTATGTCTACTATGCCAGAGCACGAACATGCGTCGGATGTTGTGAATGCTATGATAAGAGGTAAAAAATGATATACTGTTCAGTTTCTTGCACAGACTGATCGTTTCGTGTCTTAAGACCTCAATGTATCGTCACGAGCCGCAGTGTTTAATTTGGTTTTGTTTGTGTATGTTTTTTTTACTCTCGAAGCCATGGAGCCCATTGACTGCCATTATAAGACTGATAGACTGCAACGGTTTGAGTTAAAAATCTCCTTTTGTGTTCTACTGAAGAAACAAAGTCACCTACATCTGGCCCTGGGGGTAAGCAGATAAACATCACATTTTTATTTTTGGGTGAACTATCCCTTTAACCTTTACACAACCACAGCCTCAAAACATTTACCATAGAAAGGGACAGAGTCTTTCCCTGCCCATGTGTTCCGAATTTTATTAACTGAACGATTAAAAACGGTTAAATTAGATTACTTATCTACCAAATGAAACATTCACACATGTGAATCTGTTACAAACACATTACGTTGTAAGTTCTTAAGACTTCAACTACAGACTACATCAAAGTCCTCAATTAAACATCACAGGTTAAGACATTTCATCTTGTGCAATAAAGTCCATATACAAAGACATTACAAAATAAACTAATACTTGCTTATATCAGTGTTTGCTGTGATGGATTTTGTTACTTTTATTTGTCAGTGTTCACTGGTTTTATATGATCTGCTAAATCTCCAAAGTACTGGCATGATTTAGTCACTTTCACCAAATTTGTGTACTAGTACTGGAGTAGCTGTGTTCATGCCTTATTCTTAATGCTTTATATTAAGAATACAGTATATGTAAAATTTTTGTCCTTTGAATTTGCTTTCACAAAACAGACTTATCTTTGTAGTGCATTATTAAACCTGGAGTTTGAACAGATCTTTGACAGTGGCGGTTTGTCTTGATGTTACGTCTGTAAAGCCAGACACATAACCCACGCAAGCGTGCAAATGCAGACAAATTCTTGAACCGGGCTCTGACAGCATGCAGTCCCGCTGCACATAAAGTGCATTCTTGTGTTTCTCTGGCAGCAACAAACCTCAGTTTATGCTAGCGCTTCCTGCAACAGTGCTAAGAATGCGTTTGCCCTCCATTATGAATTGTGTTCTGGCAAATGAAATCAAACTTGTGTAGCTTAAGTTAAAGTACTTACAAAGAGTATGTTTTGGCTCCACATCTGTTTAGATGCTACTTCTCCTGACGCTTACTACTGCAGTGTTATCTTCATGTGTTAGCTGCTCTATTGAACTTCACCAATTCATTCGGACATTACAGTGTCTTCTACACCAGTGGTCTCTTATGTACTAGCTCTCCTCCTGTTTGTTAGTTCTCAGCAGTCTGAGTTCATCCTCAAGGTAGCTTATTCTGTCCAGCAGAGCGGCTCTGTCGGCCTGGGCTCTCTGGTTGGCCTGCCAGCGTGCTTCTTCAATCTTCCTTTCATACCAGCGCTCCATCTGCAGAGTCACTGCCTCGAAAAAGTACTGCGTAACCTCCAGCGCGTGCATGTTTTCCTGTTCCTGGGCGAAGGAAGCCTCAGCAGTGTGGTGATCTCCTAAACTCATCATGGTTTGAGTGTTGTGTTTGGTCTTTGCTCTTTGTTGGGTGCGTCTTTTGAGGTTCCTGTGTTCGCAGCACTGATCGGGGACAGGTCTCAGCTCCAGAGGCTCATCTTGCGCTCGGTGAGGGTCACTACAGGCCCGGGATCGTTGCTTAGGTCGGACTATACAAGGAGACTGGGGTGCAGATTGATTCTGTGCTGACTGCTTATCTGAAAAGACAGAACAGCTTAAGAAGGTCTGCAACATACACAACGACACCAGCACCAGCTGCAGTTGTTAGACAATATTAATCTTGATACCGACATATTATTATAAAATAGCTTCGCTACTTAATTGCAACATTATAGTTTTTAGCAATGAGGTAACGTCGCGCACAATACACACACATACTCTCTCTAATTAAAATAAATGTTATAATTTGGAGAACTTTAGCATTTGGTCACTTGCTCAGCAATGGATGCTCTGCAGTGAATGGGTGCCGTCAGAATGATAGTCCAAACAGCTGATAAAAACATCACAATAATCCACACCACTCCAGTCCATCAGTCAATGTCTTGATAAACCAAAAGCTGTGTTAGTAAGAAACAAATCCATCATTAAGACGTTTTATCCAGCTAAAATATGAGCGCTCTATCTAAAATATTGCCGTCCCTAGTAAAAAGTCACCTCATCTGGATCAGGAGAGAAATATGCACAGATCAAGTGCTGTTTACAAGCCAAAACAGTCAACAAATATGTGTGTGGATTTTGATGTGAGAGACTACAGACTTTTTCACTGGAGGAAGGGTTATTATGGATTATGGGCTTAAAACCGTCTTAATGATGGATTTGTTTCTTGCAAACACGCTGCATTTTGCTTCACAAGATGTTAACTGATGGACTGGAGTGGTGTGGATTATTGTGATGTTTTTATCAGCTGTTTGGACTCTTAATCTGACGGCACCCATTCACTGCAGAGGATCAGGAGCAAGCGATGGAATGCTACATTTCTCCAAATCTGTTCTGAAGAAGAAACAAATTCATTTACATCTTGAATGGCCTGAGGGGGGAGTAAATGTTCAGCAAATTTTCATTTTTGAGTCTACTATTGCTTCAAAGTGGTCAGAATGCTAGATCTAACAAGCCGCTGTGCGTCGGGTGGTTCTTTGCCTCTACAAAGCGCATTAAAACACCTAGCTTGGGATTATCCTTTAGCTAACGTATGGTGTATCCTTGAAAAACGACTTCAACCTATTTTTAAAGAAGAGCTCGGAGAGAAATCCTCCACTGAATGTCTAGATGCTAAAAACACATCTCAAGACCCCTAGAGTCTTGGTGATATATGACACAATTAAATATATTTTGTTCCTTATTCATTTGTTAATGCCTAAATTTCATTTCAAAATTGCAACAGCTCATTATATATGTAAAATAAAAATAATGTAAGATGTAAAATAAAAATATTCTTATTTATGAAAAATTATTTTGTCTATATCCCTCCATATGTGTATAAAGATGTTCCGTTTTGTATATTTTACTTCTAATAACCGTACATGACACATATATGTTATGTAACACTTACATAAGCCTTTATCTAAATGAGAACAAACACAGGAAAACCATTAATGCTGCATGCAGCGTGGTCTGTATGTGAGATGAGTCAGAAATTTGCTCGTGTTTCGTCTTGGTGATATATGACACAATTAAATATATTTTGTTCCTTATTCATTTGTTAATGCCTAAATTTCATTTCAAAATTGCAACAGCTCATTATATATGTAAAATAAAAATAATGTAAGATGTAAAATAAAAATATTCTTATTTATGAAAAATTATTTTGTCTATATCCCTCCATATGTGTATAAAGATGTTCCGTTTTGTATATTTTACTTCTAATAACCGTACATGACACATATATGTTATGTAACACTTACATAAGCCTTTATCTAAATGAGAACAAACACAGGAAAACCATTAATGCTGCATGCAGCGTGGTCTGTATGTGAGATGAGCCAGAAATTTGCTCGTGTTTCTGTGTGTGTGTGTGTGTGTGTGTGAGAGAGAGAGAGAGAGAGAGAGAGAGAGAGAAAGAAACACAGTTGAATTGAATGTGTGTGTGACTGTTCATTCATCTGTCCAGTCACGAGTGTCATACCCGGTGAGACGCGGTCCACCTCAATCACATAGTAACCGGCTGATGCATCCTCAGGACTCGTGCTCGCTGCTACAGTCTCTCGTCCATCTTTGGCCTCTGGTTGGTTTGTTGATGGAGAGTAGCAGGCTTTGGCACCAGATGTGTCCGGTACAGCTGTGTGGGAACGGGGATCACAACCCGAAAGCGTGTCGGTGAGGGACGAGGAGCGCCGTAACTTAGTGGCGCTGCGATCGCCAGAGAGACGCGTCTCCAAACTTTGGATCTTAGAAAGGCACCAGTTCTTGAGATCGTTGACCACTGACGCCTGCTTACAAAGACAGTAATCCAAAGATTAGCCCATGACCACTAAAAGCCAGATTTTATTCCTTTACGTCTTTGCAAAGACCGCACACTGTTTCTCATGCATGTAAAATGGGGTGTATGCAAATATGATTATCTGCATGTACATTTTTTGGTGAATATTACCTGTCTTTTTTCTCCTTCCAAGCGTTCTTGTATGGCTCGCTTGTCAATGCGATGTAAACATTCAATCCTCTCAGCAGACACTCTCTCTAAAGTGATCTTATCTAGAGCTCTGATCTGAAATAGCAAAAATGCACACAATAGTCAAGCAAAAAAAAACATCATAGGCTATGCACATAAACATTTAAATGAAAAATGCAATAAAAGTTCAAACTGATAAATATACATAGGTGCGAGCAGCATAAGGATTGGCAATTAGCTATTGAAATTATGGGCTGCTGAAGCTGAAGTGATCATTGGCTTTGGTTGAAGTTTCCCTTTATGGATATAGGTCAAGTCGTCAATATAGGCCACAACCGAAAAGTGAATTAGTATGAATCTGGGAAATGTTTTGACAAACCAAAACTTGATACTACTTTTGAAAGTTTTGTCACGAGGCACTCTAGATGCTCTAAGAGTCTAGACTCTGCACATTTATGTGAATTGGACCAGTGGCTTTAAACAAGTTTGAAAAGGTAAATGTCAGTGCTTGGCTCCTTAATGAGGACACATGGATTATTATATTCAGATGAAGCTCAGAGGTTTATGTTGGTAGGTCTTGTGTTGTTTGCACCTGATGTTTGTTCTTGCGCTCCATTTGGCCCATCTTGCTGTTCATGAGCTCCTGTACAGTGTGAATCTCTGACTGCATCTCCTCTTTTGTGGCCATGAGCTGATTCTCCAGTTTGTTAATGAGAGGTTCACACCTGCAGCCATTCAATGGGGCCTTTAGAGGAAATAACACGTATACAAAAGTCAGTAATAAATTAAAATAGCAAATTACTGCATGAGATATCTGCCATTTTTCACCTTTTAGAGAAAATGAGAAACAGGTCTTACGTAGCAGTCAAATTGCATTTAATTGATAAAAAATACAATTAAGTAGATTTTTTTCTGTAATCTTTACTCTTTGAACTGGCACTCTTTCATTTCCATGATAATTAGACAAACTATTTTAGAAGATGACAGCACTATTGAGGACAGTGACCGATTCTTTAAATAATCGCACACATAAACAACTAATTAATCGTATGCTTTTAAGTGTGAAGCACAATTTTTCTTAAACAAACAACAACAAAAATTCTTATAGATTTCAATTAATTACTGTAATCTATTCTTAGGATATATGATTGTAATGTAATAATAAATGGTTATAGTTTTATAGTCCTCAATAGGAGAAAGATGTCTAAGAGTCCCTTAAAATGTGTTTGAAGTAACCCATGTGTACCCCAAACATACTAATATGAAGGTTCACTGACAAACTAACTACTACTGATTTTCAATGGAGTGCTAATTGAGAAATGAATCAGTTTAATCTGATGGTGAAACTGGCTCCTCGCCTGCATGATCTTGCCATCTTTGCCTCTGTAGAGAGTATAGAGCTGGTACGCCTTGTAGTTATGAGGAGGAGGAGGAACAGCGGAGCATCTCTCCGTTTTACTCTTCTTCTTATGATCACTCTGTTTATTTTGTCTTCGAATGAGGGCATCTGATGGCGAAAGCTGCAAAAAAACACACAGCACACAAAGAGAGCTCTTAGAAACAAGAAACCGATGCCACAGTCGCTGGAAGCAGTACTTGTAAGGAGTGTATTTACATGCAACTTCCTATCATTACTGCAGTATAAACCCAGACAGGGTGAGAAAAGACTCTGCACTCAACATATAATATAATTCACATATTATACACAGCCGATTATACATTATTTCCTAAACTACAGTAGAAAATGCATACATGACGTACCCTCTCTTTGACTTTCTTCTCACAGTTTTTGTTTGCACGAGCCTCTGTGACGCACACATTGTCGTTCTGGCGGAGAGAGTTTTCACTGCCATGAGTGTCATTTGCTGGAGATACACTGTCCTGCACAAACACAGGAGTAAAGTCGCAGCATTGACAATGACCGGCAAAATCTACGGAGCAGATTTAAACATGTTAAGCAGAACTGAGAGTACCAAGCATGAAATTAGGCCTAATGAAATTAAGCAAATATTTAAAGTCACAATGAAACAGAAGTACCGACAGATCTTTTCTTACTTATTGTACATCCAAATGTAACAGCTTATTGAAAAAGAAATGACTGGATGTTGAGATGTGAGCATGACATCTGATGTTTTCACTGGAAGATCCAGTGTGACAATTTGATTAAACTTTACAAGGTCAAAAAAAATGTATAAAAATGAAACGCTTACATGGATGACTTGTTCATAATAAGATCTATTCAGCTTTATTAAATCCGCAAGAGGCAGGAATGCGTACAACTCTGTGAATAAATGACGTTCAAATTCTATTGAGACTAGTTTGTGCTTTCTGTAGAATTCTGGAGTCACAGATTGTGTACGGTTCAGTCTGAAATAATGCCGCATATACAATTTCTTTTAAATCTCTAATGGCATATAGTATTCAATTCATAAACATTTTCAGACTAGCGACTGTTACTAAAGTATAGCTGTCAGGAAGTAGCTCTACACACAAGACTTGAAGAATGAAAACCTAAAAATGTCTTGAGATACAGGTGGTGACTATAGTACAATCAGAATTGTAATTATTGAAAATGTTATTAAACATCTGATGTGTCGTATTACTGTGGGAGTATAAATGTTCAATAATTAAACTATCTGTCATTAAGTATTGCTTACATAATATTTAGCAACAGCATGATTGAACTTCATCAGCCTCTTTTACAGTTCGGTATTGATTGTGTCTGAGAGAGAGGGAGTGTAGGTTTGCTCCTTTACCTTTCTCGGCAGCATCTCCTCACGTGGGACTGACTGCGCTCGGCCCTCAGTCTTCATCTTGTCCCTCCTCTTCCTCACAGTGCGTCCTCGAGTGAAGCTCTACATGCAAATACAGACATTAAGTCAAATGTTGCTTGTCTTAATTCTTCACTCAGCTAAATTTAAAGCTGAAGTGTGTCATTTGTCCAACAAGAGATAGTTCATGCAAATTGAAAATTCAGTCAACATTTACCCAAACCTATGATTGCCAAACCTGCATGACTTACTTTTTTCCAGTGAAAGAATTTTTATTTATTGACAATGTAATTGAGATCAGTGAGGTCTATTGTTGTTTTGGAGTCACTATATGGTCATTAACAGTTGAAACATTCTTTTTTTTCTTGGTGTTCTGGAGAAGAAATTCCAAGATTTGGAGTAACAAAAATGAGTAAATGATGAAAGTGTTGATAGAACCAAACTGTCAGCCAATGACGATTTTGGCACAGATTTAGATTTGGCACACTTTTTTTTTTTTTTGCATGTGATTTGAGTCATTTTCAAATGTGGTTCCAAATCTAATATGCATCTGATATTTGGTCACTTGGTACAATTTGAATGTTTTTGTTAAGCATATAATGAAAAAAAAAAAAAATGAAAAAAAAAAAAACGAAAAAAAAATTATATATATATATATAAAAAAAGACATTTTCTTGTCAATTGCTCACAAGTGTGTGTTTTCTTACCTGTGGAGCTTTGGTGAGCAGCAGCGCCACTTCAGGATTATCATTTTCACGAGCCTGATCGAGAGCCGTCTCTCCCGCCTTCACCCAAAAACACACACACACACACAGAAGAATCATGCACATAAACAGATAAATGGGTCATTTCTGCTACATGCCAATAGCAGCTATAAACATCTAGACAGTTTAACTGACTTGCCCAGTAAGAATCAGCTAAGAATGCAACGTTCTGTTGCATTATGAATTACACTCAGACACATTTTGTGAAACTGTGCCAATATATCATATCTAGAAGCATCTGTGTTGAAGTATCTGTGTAGAGTATGTTTCAGGGCTTTGCTAAGCTCATGCAATATTTCTGAAGGTGCTCACATTGTTGTTAATGCGGCTGTCGGCCCCAGCCTCCAGTAACATGCGTACAGTCTTCCTGTGATTCAGAGCAGCTGCAATATGTAAAGCCGTGTCTCCTGCCTGAACATCGGAGGAGATTCTGAATTAGCCATAAATCAGAAACATCTCCACGATGGTCATAATTACAGCTTACTCAATGACCAGCAAAATGCTGTTTTAAAGGGATAGTTCACCCAAAAATGAAAATTTTATGTTTATCTGCTTACCCCCAGGGCATCCAAGATGTAGATGACTTTGTTTCTTCAGTAGAACACAAACGAAACCCGTTGCAGTCTGTCAGTCATATAATGGAAGTGAATGGGAATCACGGCTTTGAGAGTCAAAAAAACATACACATACAAAATCAAATTAAACCAACCAATGTGACGATACATTGATGTGTAAAGACACGAAACGATCGGTCTGTGCAAGAAACTGAACAGTATTTATATTGTTTTTTTAACTCTGATCCACCGCAATGTCCAACATCCGGCACGTGACGCATGTACGTGCTCTGGCATAGTAGACATAGATATATAAACGTAGATGCCTCATTAGTGACTGTTTCTCTGGGCCATGGGAATCTACTTATATATAGAGTTAAAAACCGATATAAATACTGTTCAGTTTCTTGCACAGACCGATTGTTTCGTGTCTTTACACATCAATGTATCGTCACGAGCCGCATGGTTTAATTTGGTTTTGTTTGTGTATGTTTTTTTGACTCTCAAAGCCGTGATTCCCATTCACTTCCATTATATGACTGACAGACTGCAACGGTTTGAGTTAAAAATCTTTGTTTGTGTTCTACTGAAGAAACAAAGTCACCTACATCTTGGATGCCCTGAGGGTAAGCAGATAAACATCCCATTTTCATTTTTGGGTGAACTATACCTTTAACAATATTTCAAGTCCTTACATTATTTCTTTCAGTCACTGAGCAGATGGCACTCAGGAGCGCTCGGATCACACTCACATGGTTATATCGGGCAGACACATGCAGACACGTGTCACCTACCTAAACAAAAAAGTCAACTTCATTTTACTTAAACAGCACATTTGTTTCATGCTGTTTCAATGTAACAATGGCAAAAACACAAGAGAAAGAAAAGAGAGAGACATATGAATCAAATAGACAGAAAGAAGAGTTTGACCGTACTTACGCTGTTCTTACTGTCGGGATGAGAGCCACCCAGCAGCAGGACTTTCGAGCTTTGAGCATGACCGTTCTGACCCGCCAGATGAAGAGCCGTGTTTCCTGCCTGAGAGAGATTACATGAGCTGATCTCCAGCTATACAGTGAGTAATAGTATAGAAAAGAATCACCCCCCTTTAAAAAATCACATTTTGTTGCATGGCCTGGTCAGAGCCCAGACTTAAACCGCATTGAAAATCCGTGGAATGACTTGAAGACTGCAGTCCACAAATGCTCAAAAAAACATCAAATTTAACTGAACTTGAGCAGTTCTGCAAAGAAGAGTGGGCAAATATTGCAAAGTCTAGATGTGCAAAGTTAGTAGAGACAAATCCCACCATACTAAAGGCTGTAATTAAATCAAAAGGTGCTTCAACAAAATACTAACACATGGGGGAGATCCTTTTTCCAAATCAGTGATTGTTTTTTTTTTCCCTGACATGTTAAGTGTTATATCTTTCACTTGGATGTTATAAGCTGCACTGAGTAAATACAGCTGGATAAAACAAAAACCGTGTCCGTCTTCATTTCAGGCTGCAAAGCAACAAAATTTCATTATTTTAAGAGGGGGGGGGGGTTCTTTTCTATACCCACTATATGTTCAACTATAATGTTGACAGAATTATTCCACATTTTAAAAATAAATCCAGATGCAGAACTGAATGCTGATTGGTCGACACAGCTATAAAACACCTGTTCACCATATGATTGCACAGCACCATGGAGACCATAGTATCTTACATACAAGGGCTAGAACTTCCGATGGAAGGATGCCACTTCATGAATTAATAAAACAATAATCACATTATTTATTTTTGAATGATGTACTGATTTTATTATAGCAGGCTGTGCTGTATTGTAAAACATGACTAGTCAGGACTGAAGGAGTTGCATGTGCTCCACTGCAACAAAACAAAGCTGCATGAGACAAATTATGTAACATTCATCGCAAGTAATTATTTGTGCATTTGCACATATTTACAATTGTATTAAAATCAGCCAAACGCAGCAAGGTTGTTTATCATGATATTGTGATTTCAGATAATTCTCTTTAAATCTAACTAATTTGCCTCAGGGTGAAAGAATATGGAAATCTGACCCACAGCTTCTAAAAGAACCGAAATTCTGCAATTTTTTAAGAGAACAAATTTCCTTTTTTGAGATGAACGATCTCCCTGGGACATCCCCTTCAATACTGTGGGAAACTATGAAAGCGTATATATCAGGGGTTGTATCATTTCTATTCAGGCTGCTAAAAAGAAAAGAAAAAGGGTGGAATTGGCTGACCTTGAGCAACAAATGAATCGTTTACTTTAGACAAAGAAAATGCAATGCATTTGTCTATGGAGATCTATAAAAAAAATACTTTCTTTACGATCTAAATACAATCAGATACTTTCAGACCGTATAACTAGGGGATTTTTATTTACACAACAAAAATGTATCAAATAAAATATGGTTTAAGTTCCTAGAGTGGGGAGGGTGTTAAAGGAATCATCTTCTTTTTTCTTTCCCTTTTTCTAATACCTTGTTGTTCTGGTGCTTTGTATGTCGGTCTTCTTTTTTATCTCCTCTTTTGGTTTGCAATGCTGAATCATAAGATGTGTGTTACTATGTTTATTGGATTGTTGGATTCCCCAATAAAAAGATTTAAACACATAAAGTCAGCCAAACACTTGTGAGGTCAACTGGAAAGCCAAAATCAAAAAAGCACCACCTTTTATTTTTTCCCACTTATTGTGAGATTAGGTATGTACATGCAAATCATTGAATGTTGAGGTTGTTTTTGCTGTGGCAGTGGCTTTTACCTTGTTTTTAGCGTGAACGTTGGCGCCAGCCTTCACCAGCAGTTTGACAGACTGACTGAAGCCGTGCCACGCAGCCTCATGTAACGCCGTGTTCCCATCCTGAGAAAAACATATGAAATATAACCGCTGTAACACAGCTCTCCTTTGCATTTGGAATTTCAAATGCAATATATAAAGAAAACATAAAAACAATGGCTGTTCATTAGAATATTCATTATTTGAGTTTTATACACAAATTTCAGTTTTATTTAAATTTAAAAGGGTAACATTTTTTTTAAATGAAACAAAATAAACTATACTAAAATTAGTAACAGGGCTGCAAATTAAGCCTAAAGTAGATTATCACAGAGCAGGCTTGGGACCAAATGGTTTATAGTTATTGATATATTTATTACTTTCCTCATAAATTAAAGAAAAACGTACAGTACACTTCATGTCAGGGTCCTTATCATCCTATCAGAATTTATTTTCCAATAACAACCAGATTATTCTTATAAAATAAGATTATCATTATGATTATTATTATCATTATCCTTTACATATTTAAATATCAACATTGCAAGATCATTGCAATTCCTGCAATAACGACTCTTTTTCTAGCATATGTGACCCTGGAGCACAAAACCAGTCATAAGGGTCAATTTTTCGAAATTGAGATTTATACATCATCTGAAAGCTGAATAAATAAGTTTTATGTTGATGTATAAATTGATGTATGGTTTGTTATGATATGACAATATTTGGCCGAGATACAACTATTTGAAAATCTGGAATCTGAGGACGTAAAAAAATCTAAATATTGAGAAAATCATCTTTAAAGTTGTCCAAATGAAGTTCGTAGCAATGCAATATTATGAATCAAAAATGAAGTTTTAATATATTTACGGTAGGAAATGTACAAAATATCTTCATGGAACATGATCTTTACTTAATATCCTAATGATTTTTGGCATAAAAGAAAAATCAATAAATTTGACCCATACAATGTTTTTTTTGGCTATTGCTACAAACATACCTGTGCTACTTAAGACTGGTTTTGTGCTCCAGGGTCACATATGTGAACGTGAGATATTTACCTTGTCTTGTCTATCTAGTGCACATCCTTCCTGAATGAGAGCTGAAATGACATCAGCGTTTCCCAGCACAGCCGCTCTGTGTAAGGCCGTCTGGTCACCCTGACAGCAAGAAAAATACATAGAAATGAAACATCAGTCAATCTGTGGTGATTCTGCCATCTGGCTGCACAGAGTGTTACTTATGAAGTATTGCAGCAGACCCGGAGATCGGCTGAATGGATTCGAAAACGGTAAAACTCAACTGTTTAACTCTAGGGGAGCTGGAAAATGAGTCTATTTTGAAAAATAGTGGAGTGTTCCTTTAAGAGGAAGGCGTGTGTGTTACTCCCAGCGCCTCCTTTGCCATGTTGAAAAGGGATCTAAAAATTCCCATTATAAAATAAAGTCAAAAAAAAGTTTAGAAATCTTTTTTTGGACCAGTCTTTCCTACAGATTTCGGATTTTTGGTCATAAAACGGCAAGCAGATCTTGATCCATTTTAAGTTGGACATGAAAATGATGCTATATTAACATGATTTTGTTCGCTGTTCAGAACAGCAGTGCGGGAAACACTGTTTAAGATCAGCACATTTTCAGTTTTCTGTAGAGCACTAAAGGACTATGCTGGCTTCTGTAAAATCAGGATTCTTCCTCTGGTGTAGAAAACTAAATAAAATGGCATGGTTGCCCAAACACAGATAAGGTTCATGGAAACACATTTCAGTTTGTTTTGTGCAATATCATCTGTCCTGAAGGTAGAGACACAAGGTGAACAAAAAAATACCAAAAATATCAGTTTCAAAAGACCCGTGCTGTGGTCTGTTCCTCATTTATCTTCTGACTTGACATATAATGAATGAGTTATGGTCCTTTTATGTCGTGTCTTGAGTTTCTTCAAAACTACTCCTTTTGTGCTCCATAGAATAAAGTCATATGGGTTTGGAAGGACATGTGGGTGAGCAGCTCCGTGACACTTTTAGTGAATTATTTTTTATATAGTACACTAGGGGTGTGCGATATATATCGTCTGTGATAATATCGTAATTGTCGTTTTAACGATGTGCGATTTGACATTATCGAGTATTTTGCAAAAACCATTCAAAACATCCCTACAGAGTGCACGCATGCATCACGTGAAGTCTAGACTAGTGCGCGTGTGCATTTAGTGTGCGTTCTTTCACTGCATGATTCAGGCTATTAAAATGCATTTAGAATGATCACAAATTCAAGACATGATGGCAGAACATTTATATATTTATAGCACTTCATATAGTTATTCAATTTCACACGAAGAGTGCCGTTTTTCTCCAAAAATTACCATGATTACAAATGTGACATTGAATTCAATAAACAATAAGTTAATTAAGAGACTTACGTTTTAGACACCACATTGCTTGTTTTTGCTCTATTTCGCCAACAAAAATCATTTCGAATACAGCCACAGCGCTGTTTTGTGTCTCTGAGCAACACGACGGTGTTTCGTTCCTGAATGAATCAACTGTTTAAATGATTCGGTTCAATCGCAATGACTCACTTATTAACAGTGCTTTGCTGCCACCTACTGGCGGTTTTAATTTCACATTTCGGCTTTTTCTTTCTTTTCGTTTTTCTTTTTATCATGTTTTAAATCATTTCAAATATCAGTATTCAACGTTCTATGTTTAATATATCAAAACATTATTTATGCATTTGTAATTGCAGGTTAAATGCGTTCATGTCTTGCATTAAACAAAATCCATGTGTGTAAATACATCTAAATGCCACTTCAGATGCAGCTTCTGTGTTGATTTAATTTGCTTGCTAACAGCCCAAATGTCTTATTATTCTAATTCCCTGATTAAATGTAAGAATTTGACTCAAAATATAATGGACACTTTTAGAAAAAATGGCTTTATAAAGGTAAAAATGCCCATAAAATGCAAAAATCAGTTACAACTTATTGGAAAAGATTCATTTCTATCAGTATGAACAGAATACGAAGAATATTAAAAACATTAGGAGTCAGCTGTCTTCGGCAGTCCTTAAGGTACCAGCACAATAACACACTCAGCAAAATATCGTCTAATGATCATTATCGATAAAATCCCAGAAAATATCGAGATATAATTTTTTGTCAATATCGCACACCCCTATAGTACACACACATTTATGACTCTTTAGTTGGGTCAAATCCTATTTTTTTCTCAAATGTGACTCAGGCCTCTGTTTGAACAGCACAGATCACATGGAATCTGATCTCTTTGATTCTGATTTGAGCCACTTTCATATGTGGTCCTAAATTAGACACAGCTCTGATGTTTTGCAGTGCAACCTCAGTCTGAACAGTCAGATCAGAATTAGGTCAGTGAAGGGACAGTGAGGTGTTGAACTCATAAGTATTACGGTGACAGCTCAAGGAAAGCCTGAGGGTCGTATTGTAAATATTAAAACATTTTGCTCTCTTTCTCCTCATTCAGATTGCCTGCGCACAAATTCGCTGGCATCCACGGCACATCATCTTACAAATGAATGTGTAAACACTGACTTAAGTGACCTGTATATTTACTTCTGTATAACAGCGTACCGTCTTTGTTCTTGTTCTTTTGCGGACTGTATGAAGAGTTCACACTCATATCTGATACTGGCCACATTTAAAAGATAACGTGACTAACCAAACAAAAAAAAAATCTGAGAAATAAATCAGACTTACAGTGTGAACACCAATGATAAGATTGTTTTTATGCAGATCTATGTGATTTTTGCTCAGAGGTGTAAACATGTTATACTCACATCATCCTGAATATCCAGGTCACAACCAGCTGCAAGGAGAATCCTCACAACAGCAATGTGGCCCTTATAGGCAGCCAAATGCAGAGGTGTTCTGCCGTTCTGCAAGAAAACAACACACACACACACACAATCAGGCACTGGAACAAACACAGGAGCTAGTGAATGTGTGAGGGACAAAACACATGACCAAACAGCAAGTGTGCCCGTGATGCAAAGCTCAGAGTAACTCTGCAGATGTCTGTCATGAATCCAAATAATCCATTTACATAATGAGTGAGAGTAAATAAAAATGCAATACATGAAATAGCCATCAGGATAAGCATCAGTCCTCTTTTCTACAGTTTTAGCCACTGACTAATCTCCCAGAGGACCAGCCTTATGCTACTTCAGCCAAGAAACCATGTCACAATGAGAAATAATCACAGAGCTGTGACTTATGTAACAGACAACACTCATGCCAGGCTGCCTAGTCCACACAGTTTGCTGTGGCTGCTGTATTTATAGTGTTAATGAAATATACATCAGGCCAGATATTAGATATAATATGATGTAAATGTCCTCTGTTAGAAATCTAATAGGCAAAATTATTAAGCCGTTTTATCAAATATGTACTACAAAGATAACTGCATAGTCAGCAGATAATAAACTATTTTTCAATTCTGTACTGTTAGTATATTTACAGAGCAAAATAGAACAATAATGCACAAGATAAAAGCTCCCAGTGAGAGCTTAGGAGTTTTTTTTATCCAAAACATGACTTCTTTGGAAAAATGTTTCATTTATATATTTTTTTAAATAATATTTTATTTCATTTTATTATTAACACTTCCTTAATGACATAATTCTCCAGGAAGTGATATCTTTTTATGGGAAAATAACAGCATACACACGAAGAATTAACATTAAATTTGATTATTTCTGTGATGTTCTGTGGTATTATTTGGATTGTCATTCTAAAACATTATATCCTATTTGATCCAATTATAGAAATCAGTTTGATAATATCAATATTTAAAAAAAAATTAATAAAAAATGAATTCCAAGCTGACATACTCAATCTAGTTCTCAAACCCACAGCAATGGCTAACATTTAACTTCCAGTCTAACAGCACCGTGTTCATTTTACTGCCACTGTGCAAGAAACGTAGGAATAAAGTTTAAGTGCCTGGGTTTGATCAGAGCATATTTCAGAAAGCCTGGTATATCTATCATAAAAATACTTCCTAAATTTAAATGCAAGTACTTTTACAGTTCAAAGGGTATTACTGTATGACAGCAATAACCAAATGACCTAGTAAACTGCCATAGGCTGGTTAAATGGAAGTTAGACATCTTTATTACTACAGGGAAGAGGGCATTAGATGTTGATTAAAGGGGTTCATGTCAGATGCAGCAATGTTTGCAGACATGCAAAAAAAAAGGTGCAGTAGGGTAGTGAGAGCCTCCAAAGATTCCTTCTTAAAAACGCCACGAGATCAAGAAGTGACGTCAGACATGTGAAGGGGGGGGTGACCAGTACTAAGGTGTTAAAGTCTGAATGTTAAAATCACCTCACATGATGAGCGAAGCGCCTAGATGAGACAGAGAGGTGTGTCCAATTGATCAACGTATGAGGGCAGCAATAAACAATAGCAGTAATTAAAGACAGCACGTTCAGAGCTTTTGTGTCACACCTGGTGAGCGTAAAACTGCTTAAGGACTGGCACAGTGCAACCACTCAAAACTTTCTTTAGATCCTGAAACTGGATATATTGAGCAGCACTAGTGGGAGTGATTATGTAACGATGTGGGGGAAGAGACCAGAGGTATGTGCTTGGTTATGTCTGTACCAGCTTCCAGACGGCAGGAGGGGAACAGACTCGGAGCTCTCGTCCAGCAGAATGTTCTTCACCTACGTGAAAATATACTGACAATTTATATTGATAAGTTATGTAAGCCTTAATCGTCAAAGTGGTTGATTTCTACACTCACACAGAATTCTGAATTTGCAGTAGTTATTTATGATATTTACAAGGAATCTGAATACGGCTTCAATCAGAATTTGACTCAAACGTGGTGGTCTGATCTCTTTTGCCTTTGGGCTTTCAGAAGTCTCACGTTTCCTTTTCCTGCATGTCTCATCTTCTCTCCAATGCTTGAGCTCTGGTCAGCAGGTGCTCTGGATCCTGCAGCTCTGGTCTCACCATTGTCCTGGTGAGAAAGCCATTTGTTGTCTGTGCTTGAATGATCTGTGGGTGTCGCTACAGGCAGGGCTGTCCTTTCACATTTGTGACCCTTGACCCAATTTTCCGAACTGAATAAATATGCTTTCCATTGATGTATGGTTTGTTAGGATAGGACAATATTTGGCTGAGATACAACTATTTGAAAATCTGGAATCTGAGGGTGCAAAAAAATCTAAATATTGAGAAAATCATCTTTAAAGTTGTCCAAATGAAGTTCTTAGCAATGCATATTACTAATCAAAAATGAAGTTGATATATTTACGGTAGGACATTTACTAAATATCTTCATGGAACATGATCTTTACTTAATATCCTAATGATTTTTGGCATAAAAGTAAAATCGATAATTTTGACCCATACAATGTATTTTTAGCTATTGCTACAAATATCCCCCAGCGACTTAACACTGCTTTTGTGCTCCAGGGTCACATATAGGATAAAGCCCTGGGGTGAGGGAAACACCTGAAGCTTTGAATGAGACACCCCACCCCAGGTATGGCACCTTTTGACCAACAAGGACACACCTGACAGTCAGTTGATATTCTTCTCTGTATTCAGTGACAAACCGACTTGATCTTTAACAAATCTCATAACATTCAGAGGCTGTTTTCATGATAATGTATGCTTTCACGCTAAACTGCCAAAACCTAATATTTGTTTTTAATCATAGCATATAAGAGCATCCACACTACTATACACAAAACATTAACTAACCATATCACGCATGTATTCACTCCCCAAAATAAAAAAAAAATTCTACTCTTCACACGCTCCCATTTTGCAGTAACACAGACAGCAAAAAGTAACAGCAAATGCTTTTAACAAAGTATACTTCATATAATAACATTAGAGTTGACAGTAAGACTTAAACATCAGCGGACACCAGAGATGATGCTTGTCCACAGTTTAACCTCTAGGAACAGAAATAATAACAATACTTCATGCTACATTAATGGCAGTGAGATGTCTTCTAGTCAACACTATGCATTGCATTACCACTACAGTATGTTATGGACCAGGATTTCAGTTTTCCTTCCTGCGTGAAATCCGCTCTGTTCAAACGCTCTCTGATTGTAGGAAAAAGTCCCAGGCTCTGTTTCGAAAATTCAAACAGGTGACTGTACATTAATAATAAAGAGCCTGATTAATTAAAAACACACACGCACACACACACACACACACCAGTGCCAGCTCAGACCCACTCTGAGAATATAATTTAGCCTTAATATAATTGGGTCTACATAAATTCAAAACAACTGTCAAATGGAACAAAATAATTGTTCATTACACACTGTTACATTTTTTGTGTGAAATTACAGTGTATTCCAGGTTAATAATGGCATTACTTACACAGCAATTTCACAGTGGGACTTCTCTTGTCTCTAACTGCACTCTCAGAAATTTCTTGTGAACAAACAGCATCATACTGTGTTTCTACAGTGCAGATGTACTATGAAAGCACCCAGCATGCAATGCAGCATGAATAGATCATGCTGTAGAGTTTTTTTTTTATATTCTTGTTGGTTTTATTTGTGCTATAAGTTGTTTTTGGATCACTTTTAGCAGTCTGTGTTGTTGGTTTATTTTATAATGTTGGTTTATGTTGTAAGTGTTATTTTATTTGTTGAGTGTTACCACTGTTATGTTTTGTACGTCGAGTATTAATGTCACATCTTTCAAAGACGTTTCTCAGCAGTTGCTTCACTATTGTGAAAGATCCATCCACAAACAGTTATGAATATGAAATAAGTTACTGATTAATCTTCATGCTTAAATAATGCTAAAATAATGTTAAGAATAGTTTGACTATCTTAAAGTCAGGCAATTAGCTTATTTCATACTCTAACCTGTCATCATTTTGACATCACTAGATCAGAAATTTGAATATGAATATGCAAGGTCCAAGATCCAAAACAAATACTAATCACTAATCACCATAATGGCGACTTCAATACCATTACAGTAGTAAACAACTACATTTCTCACAGTATAAACAGTTGCACAGTTAAAGACAACTTTATCATGTGAATTATAAAGCAGTAAATTACTGTGATGTTAGCATCATTCTGCTGTTCATTCACAGTCATTTGTAAGAAAATGACCCAGCATGCATTGATTTCACAGTACATTTCTGACAACAGTAATGTATTGTAAAATAATAATCTTTAATCCTGTAAATTCCTGGTAAGTTTTTTTATTTTTACAGTGCAGCTCTCATACGTTGGTCTGGAGCCCTGAAATTCCTCAGTGTGCTCTTCACCGATAACTTAACATAATTTCCACAAAGAAAGTGTTTTTAATTCCTAATTCCTCCCTTTACATTCGCACTGCTCTGAGACACTGAGTAAACCAGATCATAAGCCGCTAACAGAGCCACACTTCCCTCTGAAAAATGCAGTGCATCAGACAAGTTATCGGTAACACTTTATTTTAGGGGCCAATTCACTACTTGCTTATTAGCCAGTTGCTTATTAGCGTGCATATTACTAGCATATTGGCTGTTTATTAGTACACTGTAAAAAAGCAAGCCTGTAAATTAACAAGAGTAGCGGGGGCCAATTCACTACTTGCTTATTAGCCAGTTGCTTATTAGCGTGCATATTACTAGCGTATTGGCTGTTTATTAGTACACTGTAAAAAAGCAAGCCTGTAAATTAACAAGAGTAGCATAAATCATGAACTACAATTTTACTGTAAAAACAGCACATTAAGAGCAGCTGTGAATTTACAGTTCTTTACTGTAATATACTTGTATATACAGTATGTGACTATAATAAAACCAGGCACTGAGTCATTTGAGGAAACCGATTGCCTTAAATAGGTCTATTTCTATTTAATAATAACACTGTGAACTTATTTCTTTTGAGATAAAAAACGGTGTGGATGTTTCATTGTATTTGAAATCACCATTTTGTTGGTTAGTGTTTGCTTTAGTTGGGCTCTTCACCCTTGACTTTTCAATGTTGGCAACAGCCAGAACTGCCAATGTTAAAAAGTCAGTTGATTTCATCTGAGGCCGTGGCTGGTTGCCTGATCAGGAGAGTAAATGCCGAACTGAAGTGTTATTTTATGTGTTCTTGCACAAGACTAACATAGTGGAAATCTGTTAGTGTTTCATTTTCTGTTCTGTTGGGAATTAAAACCTGTGTTTAAGTCATGGATGAGCAGAGAAACACTCATGTTATGCTGCATGTTGCTTTTTTTAAGCCTGTAACTGTATAGTTACTGATGCAGTGACAATCTCAATGGTAAATCAGTTTTATTTCAAGAATTTATTTCTTTATCTTACTGCCGGCTCCGCCCAAGCTCAAGCTTCACGCCCTGTCGGCTCTACTTAAGTTCCGCTCTCTGTCAGCTGTACCCCAGCTCCTTGCCCTGCCGGCTCCCTTCTTGAGGCAGGCTCCACTCTTGCTGCCTGCCGAGCTGCCAGTCCCGCCCTGGCCTCCTGCTCTGCCGGCCCCGCCCTGGCCTCCTGCCCTGCTGGACCCACCCTGGAACCCTGGGTTACCTCTATCCCCAGGGCCTCTTTCACTACACGGGCCTGATCCACCTCCGTTCCGCCTCCCTCCGGGGTTGCTCCTGGTGGAGCGTCTGGAATCCGCTCCTTAAGGGGGGGGTTCTGTCACAGAGATGACTGTGTTCTGGGAGCACATGGCTTGTGTTGTGTTTGTCTGTTGCCATGTGCTCTCTCCTGTCTATTGTCTGGCCCCTCCCATCTTGTTACCTCATTATTGTTTAAGTTGCTCCACCTGTGTCTCCCTCGTTTGGTTCCTATTTATTCTCCTTGTGTCTGCCGTCCTGTGCTGATCCGTCATTTCTCATTGTGTGTGTTTCGTGTCTGCATGTGTGCAGCTTTAGCTCTGCCTGTCTGTTTTTCCCCCTCGGGGTGGTTTGAGTTTGTTTGTTTCATTTTTTTATTATTAAACTAAACAACCATTTCTTCAGCGATCCTCTCCCCGCACGCACCGTGACATTAACAGGTTTTAATTCAGTGCATGGTATAATTAGTCACATACTAAATTATATTACAGTAAAGAACTGTAAATTCACAGATGCTCGTTTTGCTTTTTTACAGTTGTGCTGTGTTTTTAACAGTACAATTGTAGTTGATGATTTACGGTACTCTTGCTAATTTACAGGCTTGCTGGCAACTGTACATTTTTTACAGTGTACTTATAAAGCACATATTAATGCCTTAATCTGCATGGCCATATTTTAGATCTCTTAATCCACCCCATACCTACACTTGACAACTACCTTATTAGTTTTACCTTACTAACTATTAATAAACAGCAAATTAGGCATTTATTGAGGCAAAGGTCATGGTTATTAGTTAGTTAATAGAGAGAATTTGTCCCCCAAACTAAAGTGTGACCCAGTTATCTAATAAAACTGCAGCCTTTGCGAATTGCTTGTCCTGTGTGAAGAATGCATGGACTTCACAGGCACGTGTGCCATTAGTGACAAGACTACGGTCTTGAAATGCAATATTCTTATGCAGATAAGCTCCAAAACCTGTATAGAAATGCAATTTGCTCCACCGTGTACACAGATGGTTGAATGACAACGTCTCAGACTTCTGAACCTAGTATATAACTAAGGTCACTAAAGCATGTTACTCACCTTGGTAATGGCTACCTTGGCCCCTTTGTTGATGAGCTGAACCACATGATCAGCTTGACCCTTGTGCGAGGCTATGAGGAGACGCTCAGAGAGGGCTCGCACAGATGATGCATCCTGCTGGTTCATGAATTAGGGAAAGACTTAGGGAGGGGGGAATTACTGGGATCAGAAGCAGGAATGCGTCCCTCTGCCTTGGGATGAGAGGAGAGAGGAACCATAGATGTCTAGCTCTTGGAGGGATCTAACCCTCATGTCCTTTGGAGAAGCCTGTGGGGAAACAGGAAATGACACCACTGTCATAACAGCAGCCATAGTTTTCCAGAGTAAAGCGGATGTGACTATAGAGACACTGAAGAGGATTTTGTTGGCTCTACATCAGCTGATTTGTCATTAAAGGGGTCATATCGTACATTTATTAATCATTTCAATTTGTTCCCTATGGTTCACCTATAATGTTACTGATGGGATTTTATACCAAAAAAACGTTAATTTTATGTTTTCATGACCATTTCGATGACCCGATATAATGTAATATATATATATTTTTTTACATAAAAAAAACTCTCAAGTCCCTCTTTGCATGTGAAACAAGTAAAACGTTTCGCTATGCTCACACACTGCATGTTTGCTGCCACGTCTAATATAGTTTTTAAAGGCACCATCCTACAATATCAGTCTCTTTGTAAAACTGTATTACAATGTCAAGTCAAAATTATATAGTGCTTTTCACAATACAAATTGTTTCAAAGCAGCTTTACAAAAAAAAGCATGATTTAAATATCTATAACATCTTTTAATATCTTAATATCTTCATGCCTTTTAGTCACATTTGGCTGATTAGTGCTGGGCAATAATATTTTAGATTTGCTATATAGTATATATGGCTTTACATGAGTAGACTATGTATTGTGGATAAAGTTGGACATACTTATAACTTTATATAAAGAGCTGGACTTCATTGCAATCTGCACCAAAATGTGCCACTCAAACTGTTCTGATCTGACTGAAATAATTATGAATCTTGTTAAAAAATACATTTTAGTGTGCGTCTCTAATGTTACGATTCTTAAGAAGGACCTGCAAAATGCCAGCTGCTAGCTACACACGTCTTATGCTTACCACCTGCTTATACCTGTTATTAGCAAAGACTTGAGTTATGTCATCTGATCACGTTTTGTTTGGCTTAGGGTCACATGCAGCGTGTTTCTGTGCCTATGAAATTTCTTGCAACTTTCTCTTGATTCACACAGCCTATGACAAAAAAACAAAAAAGACTAAAGGCGAGCTCATGACAAAAGTTATATAGCTTCAACTTGACAGAAGTAGAATTGCTCGAAACCATGTGAGGCACTTTGATAGTGACGTCACAGCTGTGAAACGTGAACCTTTGGATCAGAAAACTGAAGCAGGCTGAACATAGTCAGGTATTTCTTTTTAAACATCAGTTATGTTCACTGCATGACAACAAGCCCTACAATCAACCGTCAGTCAAATCTCATTGTGTACTAATGGCATGTTATACACTGCACTTACATAACAGGCTAGAATTTCCCCCAAGAGTAAAGAGAATGAGTACTGGTATTATACTCTTTCTGTGTTTGAATTTAATTGGTATAATGGTTTGTTGTGACTCTATAAACAAACTTGATTAAATAAACACTTTGAAATGTGCAAAGCTACAGCAATAACCAGTCTAAGCCCCAAGGCAGTCCTTAGTCAAGAACTTCAAAGTCAGTTTTAGACATGTAGTATTTATGATGATGACCAGTGAAATGGCCGCAGATGCACTTTGTAATAATTCAGAGGAGAGCTGACATGAGCATGTGTAGGCACATCCCCTCCAGCCCTCCCTGCGTGTCTTTAAAGGATTCTCCGGATTCCCTCTTTTATGTTACATACAGCCCCACACATCAGTGAACTTTAAACTCTGGCCCGTTCACAACCTGAAGAATGGCAGTGTCTCGGCTGTATCATTGTTTCCTCGAAACAACAGGGAAAAACATTCCCACATTTTCAGGAGAATGCAGGGCAAAAATTTCGCAAGGCTTAAAATAACAAAGACATTGTAAACCTGTGACTTCTGAAATAATTCACTGTGCTTGTCACTGGCAAAGACAACACACACACACACACTCACAAAGATGGAGGCAGGTAGCCCCCCGGGATCGCTAGATCGGTCAGCGCCGGACCACGAATTTAACCGCCTGTAACTCCCGAACCCCGGGGGCTCTGATTGCAAGTTAATTTTGTTACAGTCCTGTGAGACAGAAACACGAGTATGTAGAGAAAGGTTCAGGGCATAAAAGAACACTTATCAAATTTAATTTTCACGACATTATTTTCTGGTGCGCAACAACTAAAAGCCCTGAAAACCATCTAACACTAACGAATGACATAATATTAAATTATGGTGTCTGTATGCATGTTTTTTGGTTGTTGGTTTTTTGGATTGTGAAAACTACTGTTTAAACCAGTGCTATTTTACTATCATTGAGATATTATTATAGTTTTTATTCATATTTTGTATCAGTCTATATTTCCCATATATATATATATATATATACATACACATATGTGACCCTGGAGCACAAAAGCAGTGTTAAGTCGCTGGGGTATATTTGTAGCAATAACCAAAAATACATTGTATGGGTCAAAATTATAGATTTTTCTTTTATGTCAAAAATTATTAGCATATTAAGTAAATATCATGTTCCATGAAGATATTTTGTAAATTTCCTACCATAAATATATTAAAACTTAATTTTTGATTAGTAATATGCATTGCTAAGAACTTCATTTGGACAACTTTAAAGATGATTTTCTCAATATTTAGATTTTTTTGCACCCTCAGATTCCAGATTTTCAAATAGTTGTATCTCGGCCAAATATTGTCCGATCCTAACAAACCATACATCAATGGAAAGTGTATTTATTCAGCTTTCAGATGATGTGCACATCTCAATTTCGAAAAATGTACCCTTATGACTGGTTTTGTGGCCCAGGTTCACATTGTGTGTGTGTGTGTGTGTCTATAGTTTTTATTAATTTTTGTTTTACTTATTTTAGTACATTAAGTTAAACTCAATTAGAAGGAGAACCAAATATTTCATTTAAGGGCCTGTTGGTCAGGCCAAGGAGTGCTTTTGTCAATAATATATATATATATATATAGAGAGAGAGAGAGAGAGAGAGAGAACTGCTATACTAGACATCTTTAAGAGGACTTGTTGTGACCCTGGACCACAAAACCAGTCATAAGGGTCAATTTTCTGAAGAAAAAAAATTCTGTATTGGCCGAGATACAATCTGGAATCTGAGGGTGACAAACAATCTAAATACTGAGAAAATAATCCTTAAAGTTGTCCAAATGAAGTTCTTAGCAATGCATATTACTAATCAAAATTAAGTTTTGATATTTACGGTAGGAAATTTACAAAATATCTTCATGGAACATGATCTTTACTTAATATCCTAATGATTTTTGGCATAAAAGAAAAATCGATAATTTTGACTCATGCAATGTATTTTTAGCTATTGCTACAAATATACCCCAGCGACTTATCACTGCTTTTGTGCTCCAGGGTCACACTTGATTATTTCCCTCTTTGAAACCTTATCCCTATCATGGTTAGTCATAATCCTTTCTCCTTGTGGCGACATCCAGCAAGAGTTTCATTTTTCAGCTCTATTCAGAGGATTTGAGGTGGAACTCTGCTAAATGTTCTTGCCAGAAAATGTCTGGACTATGTGTAGCTCAGAGGCATTCAGCAGATTTATTAAATTATCCAAAACAAGAGGTGACTCTCACGAAACCTGTCAAGAACATGTCAAACTCGTATTTCACTGTCAATAAAAATGAATATATTCTGACATGATTTTTAAGACAAGCACATTTCCCCTTCATTTAAAGTTAAAACAGGATTCATTTTATTTATGCAACATATTTACAATATAATTAGTATTTTAAAATCTATCTACACTCTAAAAAATGCTGGGTTGTTTCAACCCAACTTTGGGTCAAATATGGACTAACCCAACCTTTGGGTTAAAATTTTACATTCAATTTTTAACCCAAAAGTTGGGTTAGTCCATATTTGACCCAAAGTTGGGTTGAAACAACCCAGCATTTTTTAGAGTGTATCTATCTATCTATCGGGTGAAATATGACCACGACGTGTGGTTGATGTTAAAAGCTTATTTTCCATATTGTGTCCATTAACAGCATGAAAAAATAATGTGTGAACCACTTGACTTAATTAACAGATTTTGTGAGTTTTACAAAGCATTATCTATGAACCACTTGGCTTAATGGGTTTCAAATATGATAGCTGCGTATAGATTATATGATAGACAGTTATGTGATCTGTAATTCCGATGACCAATACCAGAAACAATCTAGACACAGAGAGTCTGCATGATAATCACCACACCCTTTATCTGAGCCAGAAACCCCTTCATCACACAAAGGGTTCGAGACAAACAATAGAAAAAAAAAATCTGATGATGATAAAGATGCATTTTTTTAAGCAATGTAAACCCATTTTATTCTATAAACCATTTCAGACATTATATATGCACAGAATGTCTCAATACTGCATCAGCATAAGGCTGAACTGTGCTTAACTGAGTTCAGTTGTGTTCATAGAAATAAACTCATGCACAGTTATTAAAGACATAACTGAACAGTGTGGATTATCAGTTAATAAAGCTTCAGATTAGTCATGTAAAATAATGCGTTTCTGAGCCAGACTTCGGACACATTTACTGAAACCCCTTATACATGGTCAGCACAATTTGACAAACATGCAGTTATCACTCCTAAAGTAATATCATAATCGATTATATTCATAAATAGGTTTGGTGGCTAATACCAAGCTGATTATTTTGGTAGAGCTAGTACAGTGTTTTGGCAGAAACGGTGGTTACCATTGTAAATTGGGAATGTCCTGGTTATATCATGAGGGAAAAATACAAGTATTATGCTCATAAATAAAGTGAATGTTTTTGGTTTTTTTAAATGCCAAATTTTGCCCTAGGTTTTAGCTGCATTAATCAAAATCAACTTGATTTAAAACAACAGAACTCAGAAGCTGTGCGTGTACTTTGGCCCCCATATTTTTGGGGGTGAATTTGTACTCGGAAGACCTAAATCTAACAAAACCAAAACATCCACTTGAGAAATTCATCATTTGATGGATAAAAATAAATAAATAAACAAATAAATGAAGTATGTAACTAAATTCTTAACTGAAAAAAATGCTATTTTCTGTCTGCTGTGTGTGTTTGGGTTATGTGTTATAATATTTATAACTAGTTGTACATAAAAAAACTAGTTGTTGTGTGTGTGTTTGTGTTTATGTGTGTGTGTGTGTGTGTGTGTGTGTGTATGTGTGTTTGTGTGTGTGTGTGTGTAAGAGTGTGTGTGTATGTTTGTTTGTGTTTGTGTGTGTAAGAGTGTGTGTCTATGTGTGTGTGTGTGTCTATGTGTGTGTAAATGTGTGTGTGTGTGTGTGT